TGCATTGTTAATCATTTTGATCTTTTATTTTAAAAATTCACATAAATCTAACCTTTCACTGGTGAATAAGAATTTAAATGGGGGGAAATATCATTATGACATAAATGTTTTTTTTTAAGGGAATTTGGCCGTTGTTTTCCTTCCTATTTATATTCCTGTGAAACAGGAAGCCATGGCTGGATAATTTCATGTTCATAATGTAAATATGAATGGGAATATACTTCACAGATATTTTATTTATAAGAATTTCTAGGGGTGCCAATAATTGTGTCCAACGTGTATTTGAGAAAAACATTTATTTCATAATGAGATTTTCCCCCATTTTCAATTGTTTTAGTTCAATGAAAGGTTAGATATTTGTGAATTTTTTTAAATAAAAGATCAAAATGATTAACAATGCAGATTTATTTTCACAGCCTTCTTTGATCATATTTACCAAGGGTGCCAATAATTCTGACCACGACTGTATCTAACATTATTACCACCTTACAATTAATGATTACATAAAGCATTTCTAGTTTGATAAAATGTTTTTTGTTTGTTTGTTTTTTAAAATAAATATTCTAAGTAGAGGTCGACCGATGTACCGTTTTTGCCGATTAATCGGCACTGATAGTTGATTGCTGGAACTATCGGCAAAAATCCATGCCGACAGTTTTTTCGGGTTGCGTCCGTTGCTGGAGCGGCTGAGAAGATCCGCTGTCATTATACAGTACGAGAGCGAGAGCGGCCTCTAGAGGCGAATCACTGACACCACGTGCTGTTTGTTTTGACACGTGCCACTGTGCTCTGCACAGAGAGGGACACTTCAGACGCGCGGATTTAAAACATCAACTAAACGGTGTGTACACATTATATTATGGTGCATGTTTTCATATAATTTACATTTATTACTATTGATTATTATCATATCATTACTAAGTAATTAATTTGTTGACTAGATGCTGCACTAGTGGAGAAAGAACAGCAGTATGTTTGCCATCAAGGCTAAGAGGACGCAAACATTAGCAGCACCTTAAATGGTTAAAACAATGAGACCAAAACACACGCAAGTTTTGCTCTTTTTTTTTTTTTTTTAAACACCGAACTTCAAACTCATATATGCCGCTTGTTTGATCATTCCTGAAGTGAACTTTTGCCCGTTTGGTGATTAAATAAACTGTTTTAGACCGCGGCATAAACTGAACGTGACGCATCTGGTGTGTGTGTGATCCCTGATACCTGCGAGTTCTCCCAGACGTGGCGCTGCGCTTTTTGCCCAGTGTGCGACTGCCATATTTTGTTATTTTGATTAGATAAGCATCACGTGTTCTAGAATAGAAGCAATTAAAGTGTGAGAGTATACATACAATATCCATATAATTTCAAGGATATGGCCTTTGTGTAGATATTTAAAGATGGCCATAAATTAGAGTGTGTTCATTTCAACATCTACCAATTCATTTTTAAATTTTTAAGTTGCTTCTGTAACATTAATGAACTATGAACTAACTTTAATGATCAATATATAATTAATATTAATATTTTTATTTATGTAAAGTATGGTTCAGTCCTGTTGTTTTTTTTGTTTTGTTTTTAAGTAAAGCACTATTTTAGTTTTCGTTCAGTATCCATTTTAAAAACTATCGGTTGATTAATCAGTATCGACCAGTGTGGTCCAACCTAGCTATCGGTAAAATCCACTACCGGTCAACCTCTATTCTAAAGTGTTTTGAATTTACTAATCATACCAGTCTTCGTCTACTCTGCAATCTAGGTGTGTTTAAAGACTGGGAATAACTTACAGTAATTCACTATGCAAACACTGCCAGCAATAAAACCAAGACCTGACTCACCTCAGTCATGACAAAGTCATAACTTATCTCCAGCAATGTATGGCACCCTCACTTCACCCACGTTTACTATCACAATATCACCTTAACCATCAAAAGGCCCATCGCTGAGGAATGTCACATGACCACATTTATTTAGCAGTGAGTGAACAGGTCTTCTGTTTGCTGTGTGACAGTGTTGGGAATTTCATAGTCCTCGTCAGAACAAAATAGAAGCTCCACCTTTGTTTACTATCTGTAAATACCACCTTCAACACCCCAGTGCAGCAAAACTACAAAACAAAATGATGAAATGGAAGAACTCTCTGTAGCACATAGACTACATAATTCATACAACAGAGAAACCCTTGTAAGAGACAGATGGTGATGAGAAACCAGTTAGAATTACTCCAAAGAATATGCAATTATTCATTTAATCATCTATTTGTCAAGACAATTACTATACAACATGAAGGCAGTGATATTATTGGTAATTAAAACAATATTATTGTACTGGAATGGAGTAGAAAATTGCCAAATTCATAGAAAAATATAATAAATGTGATTAAGTATAACAAATGCAATAGTTCTAATATAACATAATATAAAATAGTTTTATTAAAAGTAAGAAAATTAATTTACAATGAATTGAATATCTCTTAATAAACAGATAATCAATAAATTATGTAATTAATTAACTTTGATTTGTTGTAATAGTTCTCTCAAACAAAAACTTTTTTTTTTGTTTAATTAAAAATGATTTGTGGAAAGAGCTTTGGACTCCACATTATTCCATTACAAACCACATTACAAAAAGTAAGGTTAAACGCATGTCATTTTTAACATCAGTCGTCAGATTTGTGTGACAGAAGCTCTAAAAGCTCTCTATCGGGACTATAGGGAACCATCTGACAAGAGTTGGTGTTATGTAGAATCGTGCTGAAACGCATGTTGAACTGAGTGAACGGGCCTCGCAGTAGTGTGATCCGTTTCAGGCCCGTACAGTCAATTCAACACAAACAGCAGCAGCAGAATTACAGCGTGACACTGAGCGAGCTGCTTACAATGTAACACGCGAACAGAACGTCACAGTCCAACAGAACGGAACAATGAAACCGTTCAGACGCTGGCGGCTCAAACACTCACATACACTCTCTCGGTTTGTCAGTCCTGTTAACAAAAACAAGACCGACATGCGGAAAATTGCGCGTACGTTTAGCTTATTCTCGTGCGACACCAAAATAAAAGACACGTAGAAGTAGCCTGTGAGCTCAATGTTGGGGTTTACGCCAGTTCGACGTTTTATTTGATACCAACCGAACGTTTCTGTAATGTGTGAAATGTTGAATACTTACAGTGCTGCGATGTAACTGTGTCTTCTGCGGCTGCTTTGGTTCTGTGTGTGTGTGTGCTCGCGAGCAGCCGTCCAGATCACGCCAGCAGACTGTGTGTGTGTGTGTGTGTGTGTGTGTGTGCGCGCGCGCTGGGCTCAACGTCAGCGGAATGTGTGTATAAGCGAATTAAACACTGACTGTGACTCAAACGCGCATATCTGCAAAAGACATGATGGGTTTGTAACAAACTCCCTGTCGAGTGGCTTTCCGCGGTTAAAAATTGATCTGGGATCGGTTCTGTGGCGGTTTGGTCTGTGATGCGCGAGCTGATCTCAGGTCAGATGCCGTGCGGCGATTGGCGCTTCCTCCGTCACTGAGGCGAGGCGTGAGGCGTCGTGTTACCCGGATGTGGATGTGTTCAGACTGTATTATGAAGAGATACAGGCTAAAATAAGTGCATGACTCATGATTCTGAATCACGACGTTTTAAACTATCGCGTCACATACCTGCCTGAACTATTGAACGACACTGTCACAGCCAAAGTCTGCGTGTGCGCAGTGTGTCGCTGAAGCACAGAGACTCTGAGTCACCGACAAACTCCAAACGACCAGTGGTGGCGGTTGCGTGAAATCTGTGCCGTTTGTACAGGTTAAATAGAAACTAATTTTATTGATGGAAAAAATATTATTATTACTAATATTATTAGTATAAAAATATTATACTATTATACAACATGGTGATTTCTTGGAGTACAATATAAATATATGCATATAAATATATGATTAAAACATGCTGAAAAGCTAGTTCATGCATGACCTATAGACAGGACTACTGTAATGCACTGCTAGGTGGTTGTCCTCCTGTATCTTCAATAAACAGGTAGTTCAAAATGCAGCTGCTAAGAGTCCTTACCAGGTTAAGAAAATATGATCATATTACCCCAATTTTACAATATCTTCACTGGCTACCTATTAAGTTCCATATCAGTTAGGCTACTACTTACTTATAAGGCCCTAAATGGTTTAGCTCCTGCGTACCTAACCAGTCTTCTGTCACACTACAATCCATCACGCTCCCTAAGGTCGCAAAACTCTGGTATTTTGGTAGTACCTAGGATAGCAAAGTCCACTAAAGGAGGTAGAGCTTTTTCGCATTTGGCTCCCAAAATCTGGAATATCTTCCTGATAATGTTCGGGGTTCAGACACTCTCTCTCTCTCTTTTTAAATCTAGATTATCTCTTTAGCCAAGCATTCACATAATGTATCTCACAACCTTGTGCTCCAGTTATATCTGATCAAATGCACATTATAATTTTTTGCTTGGTTAGAACAGCAGCTACGCTAATTTTTGTCTATTTGCTTCTCTGTTTCTGCCATGGGATGGGAATCCTGAGGTAACTAGGAACAATAACACAAGCTTCAGTCTGGATCCAGCCCTTACGAAGATCTGAGATGACTGAACACCTGAGAAGAGAAGATGCCGACCCTCAGAGGACCTCAGATGACGCCAACCCTGATCCAACATACAAAACTACCAAATTTTCCTATAGGTTCGATCACAATATATACTCATTGCTGTTAATAGTGTTCACCGTCTGTTTGATTACATGTCATTAACGAACTGCATGATTTTTTTTTCTGTACATTTCTGCCATATGGACATCACCTTGACACCACTGATAAGCTTCTCCTAAATGTAATGTAGAAACTTTCATTTTCTGTGAAGCTGCTTTGCAACGATTTGTATCGTGAAAAGCACTATACAAATACATGTGAAAAAAAGAGAGACTTGGAGGAATAAACAGTAGACATTTCCTTGACAAATCTGAGCCAGCAAATGAGGATAGATTGTTTCAGTGAAGTTTATTTAAGCCCAAGCACTTTAAATTCATTCATCTCATACATCCTCTTAGATACATATTTACACATATACACAGATACGAGTCTAATACAGGAAAATATTTTAATTTCAAATGAAAATACAGAGAGATAAGACTAACATGCAGCAATGTGCCATTTAAAATTTAAACAAAATAACAATGACTTTTTGTATTGCTGAACATGTTAAAAAGACAGAGTACAGTTATGGGGACAAAACATTTGAGCACAGAAAAGCTGTGGTCATCAAAAATGGCAGAAATTATGGTAGTTCATTCCTTGAATAAATCAGCTGATTTGAGGAATATTGATATAGATTAACTGTCAAGCTTTATCAAGAAATACTTATTTGACAAAAGGTTCTGACCATTAAAATAAGTCTTACAAAAGCTGAATGATGGTTACTACATGCCAATTATCGCTTTCCAGACATTACATTTTGAAAGAACCAAGTTAAACAATCTGTGGTGACAAAATAAATTACATAAAATGCGAACACAATTGGTATGTTGTTACTGGAAAATTATAATAATTGTACACAAATGGTGCAGAAGTCACAAATACAACAAAATACAATGAAATACATTTCATTTAATTTTCATGACAACAATAGTGGTCATAATATACAATATGTATATATATATATATATTTATACTGTTTTAATGAAAAACATGAGATAAAAGTTAATATCTGTACAAATCTTCTTTTACAGGAAATAATTTAAACTATACAGCCGTTTTAGATTAATACATAGTGAATAACAGGACTTTTCACCGGGCATAACCTCAAGAATCTTTATCCTATAAAACAATTTCATTGTCTTGCTGCTACAGCAAATCAGACAGAAGCTTCAGACGCCAACAAAGTCAGACATTCCAAAAAGACACTGATATTCTCAATGCAAGATCAATAAAACCAGTGGAAGCTCATGTGGTCGTACATTAAAGTTCAATGAGAGTCCTTTTTATGTATATTTAAAGACTTTTAAAACCGCAGGCTGCTCTGATGTCAATGCCGACTCGACCAAGAGCCCTTTTCGCTTTTAATCCTTGAGGAAATGCATGCAGATGTGAAACAAACAGCATCACACTGATACTTTCAAAGTAAAGTAATATTTGAAAGGGGAACAGAAGACACGTTTTCTCTCTCTCTTATGAAGGAGAGAAGGTTGAGAAAGTGTGACGCTCTATATAAAATATATCCTGAATAGTGCATATTGACTGCAGAGGTCAATTCCTTTCTCGGCTGATGAGGTTAAATACAGTACAAAGACTCAAGGAGCTTCAGTAGAAAGTGCACTGTGTAGGAGCTGCCACAAGGCGGTGGAGCAGCGGCTTCAGGCTTTGATGTCTGAGAAGCTTGTGTAGGTTTCACTGCAGCTGGAGGACGTGCTGAGGTTTCCAGATCCACTGCCTTCTGTGAGAAAACACACCTACTTATTTTCGCTAAAATACTCATTCATAAAATGAAGATTTCATGACAGGGATTTATTGTGTGGTGGATGAAAAGCGGGAAGTTGTGTTACCTGAGCTGGAGAGAGATTGAGAAGATTTGGATTCTCCGATGAGAGTGAGCAGGTTTGCAGCAGGGATCCAGCCCTCCTTATTGGTCCGCAGATTACGTACAAACCTGAAGCAGCACAAAAACATTAATATCACACCAGCCTCTGCTTACAGAAGATGTTATGCGGTTCTAATTTGGTCATCTTAAAACATAAAAATGAGCCCAGACAATAATGTACAAGTGAAATTTACTTATCATCCATAACAGGATCCAACACTCAAAATGGCAGAATGGATCTTGATATTTAAAATTTGTAGGCAAAAAAAAAAAAAGTTGTCAACCTCAGCAAACTTTGACTTGCAAGTATTAAAATGTATACATTAGAATTTATATAATAAAATAATCTAACCATATAAACTAACTTAAATGCTAAAAAAAACACAAAATCGAGTCAAACGTCAAATTTTTTTTGAAAAAAGTCAAAAGTCAAACTTCAAAATTTTTGTTTCCCATCAATAATTATTGATTTTATTGAAGAACATAAAGTTCTGGAATGCAGAACATATCTTCCGGAATCACAAGATTGATCGTGGTCAATTCATTCAGTATATTACTAAATTAATCATTTGAATTAAATAGTTTCAGTTTAAGCACTATAATAACTAACTGGAAATAAAAAACTAACTACGACTAAAACTGAAATAAAAATCGAATAAAAATGTCAAAAATAAATAAAAAGTTAAAACATTAATAAAAAACTACAATAGTATATAATTAATATACTGATACAGGACAGTCATGATTGTTTAGATTGAGCATTTATTTCAATTAGTTGATTCAATAGAAAAAAGATCCATTGATTTCAATTGCTGATTTATTGAAAACCACAAAAGGATGATCTGCTTATTGAGTCCTAGTGGTTTGCAATGTGTAACATGAGGAGGAGTAAATGATGACAGAATCGTCATAGTATTTACATAATCCTGAATCTTACCAGCATCCATCGTCTCCCTCTCTCACCAGCTGCACTGTGTCTCCACTCTTAACCGTCAGCTCCTGTGGTCCGCTTTTGTCATGGTCAGCAACGACCACGTACCTGCCTGGAGACTACATGTGCACACAAACACCATCAGTGGCCAAACTAAAGATTTCTGCAAACAAACATGGATGGGACACAAGAAATCGTGATGCTGGGCCACCATGACTCACCAGTTTTCTCCCTCCCTCATCCTCAGGATCAGAGTTCATGGGATCCTCGGCACTTGAGTAACCGTCGTTCTCCTCAGACGCATCCACAGACAGCGATGCCTTGGAGAAGCCTTGTGGAAGAGAGGACAAGTGAAACGAATGTGTCATTTGGATTATGGTGAAACAATGAAAGAGAGGGATAAGTGGTGCTCCACAAAGATGGTGTGTGTGTGTGGAAGGTGAAAAAGAGACCAGCTCGGTTTCAAAACCTAGTTAGCTATTTTGCTGCCTACAGCTTACATAGTCTTCTAAGGCAGCGCGCTAAACATTTACACAAGCAATAATGCACCACATCAACACATCAGTTCCTAAAGTAAAACTCCTGGGTTTTCAAAAGAGTTTGGCATTACATGTTGCTAAGCTAACAACACAACAGCATTAAAAAACATAGCTGTAGAAACAATTTTCACTCAGAGAGTACATTTAGAAAATAATTAGAAAGAAATAGAAAGTAACACTGAAATAAAGGTATAACGTTGTAGTAGAAAGAGTGAAATAGTACTTTCTTGTAAATCATACTCCAGTAATCTTTATTTACAACTTCAAATAATAATTTTTTTGCAATTTAGTCAACATTACTCTCAATTCGCCATCTTGGATAAAAGTTTTAACTGAGACTTTGCATTGGGAGTGACCATATGATGCCTATGTAGGCAGCACACGAAGTTTTGAAACAAATCCAGTGTCTCTTTCTCTCGTATCCACTTGAAAAGAGGAACAGCTCCAGGCACTGAGCTAACAGGAAGAGCTGTTTGTGTTTTATGTTCAGACAGCCATGACTCCGATGATGACAGTTTGTGAAGAGGGCACATGACACATTCGCAAATCATACAAAACATGTTTACGGAGAGCTACATAAACATTTTCAGATATGAATCAGTGGATAATTATAGAGCCTGGAAGAGTGTTTGGTAGAAAGGGATCTGTGGTTTCAGAGTCGTAAAAGTGAATCCAGAACTAGCACCGCAAACCAGCAGACAGGAACCCAAACCAGATGCTCATGCCGCGTTAAACGCAAGTGTTTCCAAACTAAGGGAAGTGCAAGTTGATATTCTTGCACAAATTGACATGTTCTGGTTTATAAATGTACGAAACTAGTAATACAGTATTTAAAGGAATAGTTCACCCAAAAATGAAAATTCCGTCATCATTTACTCACCCTCATGTTGTTCCAAACCTGTATGACTTTTTGTTTTGTGGAAACAAAAGCCTTTTCAATGCAATCTTTTTCATGCAATTACTACAAATGGGAACTGAATCTTTCAAATTTTAATAGGGGTGAAAAAGTATAATATAAATGCAAAAATCTCCTAAACAGCTGAGAATGTATGAGAAACAGGTCAAAACTTTGTATTTTACTGAAAATCTTATGACTTTGAGAAATATTGTAGTTATCAGTCCACTTTGTAAATGAATCATTCTTTTGAGTTGGATCTTTTCAAACAAAGTGACTGATTTGGTTCACAAACCAGTCTGAATGATTCGTTCATGAAACGGACTGAACTGGTTCTCAAGTTCAATTCACTGAATCAAGGATCTGATTGCAATGATTCTCAAGTCAAAATCTCACCAGAGAGAAAGACACCAATCTCACCTTTTTTTTTTTGGCGCTTTCGCTTTATCTTTGAAGCTTGAATGCTTTAGTCTCCATTCAGCGCAAATACATGGAAAACAGCAACCAGTCAATTGTAGAAAAATTCTCCATTTGTGTTCCACAGAAGAAAGTCATACTGATTTGAAACAACATGAGTGTGAGTAAATAAAGATGATTCATTTTCAGTGAACTGTTCCTTTAAGAGATTATCTGATCGTTCTCTCTCTTGTAACAATTATAAGATATGAACTGGGCTGGTTTCACATTCTCCCACAGTAAAGAGCATTTTAGATCGACAGTAGTAATTTATTGAGCAGTTATGTCAAAGAGATGCCATTTTAGCACCATGATTTATCCTGTAAACCACCAATTACAGTGCAATAATATCATACCCTGTGGTTAGTGTTTGCCAGTCTGTTTGGAAGTTCGCTGTGAGAAAGCAATAAAGACAAAGTTCATTCCCACACCAGGCATCTAGTTACCTCTCCTTTTAGTCTGCAACAGACTAGAAGCGCTCAGCCATCTCACTCGGGTAAGAGTGATGTGGGGACCCGTGTCTAAGGGAGAGGCAGCCAATAAGATTTCAAAGACTCCCATCGATTTACCTACCAACCACCCCACAGATCGCTTTTACTGGTTGGGTGTACAGCACTAAAGTCAGTTTGTTTGGAATGCTTAAAGGGACAGTCCACCCAAAAATTAAAATTCTGTCATCATTTATTCACCTTCATGTTGTTCTAAACCTGTATGAGTTTATTTTTTTCTTCTTCTGTGGAACACAACAGAAGATATATTAAAGAATGTTGGTAATTAAAGAGTTCCAATTCCCATTGACTTCCATTGCATGGACAAAAAATACAATGGAAGTCAATGGGAAATGAAACTCTTTGGTTATCAACATTCTTCAAAATATCGTCCCAAACTCATACAGGTTTGGGACAAAATAAGGATGAATAAATGATGACAGAATTATCTTTTGGGTGAACTATCCCTTAAATGCCTAATATAGAAGCATTTTAGTTTTTGATTACTAATATATGGAGGTGAAACAAAATTTGGCAACCACATAATATGATAAAATAAATGATTTGGAACACTGGTCATGGCTGATGTTGGAGGAGGCAAAGCTGGGAGTTTTTAGGGGACAGTGTACCTCTGAAGCCAAATGGTGTAGGATCACTCTTAATCTCATGTCTTTTAGTTTTGTGGTCAGGACTAGGGGGGGATGATCCTGGCAGCCATAGCAAAGAGTGAGAAAGAAAAGGATAAGAGGACAAAAAAAATCAGGAAAGAAGAAAGAGAAAAAGTCTATAATAGGGTTAAAGGAAATATTCTTAAATATTAGAAAGAAAAAAAGTGTCTCTTCTACAGGATGAAAGCCTCTAAAAGGCAACATGTCTGGTAAAGTCCTACACTGTGCCTTAACCATCTGCAATGTGATAAAACGTGATAAAGGTTTTTGGAAATTGAACTGGCCCAAAATCCCACTCTAATAACCACATATTAAATAAATATACAGTTATGGGAGTAGGCAAGTAAGTAAATAAATGGCTAGCATTTTCAGTTTCATTGTAAACAAATTCTTGTTCCTGGTTGTTTCACACCTGGTTAATGCACAGTAAATAGCACTTAAGTAGTGAATGTTCTAAACTGTAATATTACCAAGCTTGAACTATGCTGCTAATCTAGACTTTCTGATTTACACTAGAGTAGTGTATTCTGAGACTACAGTATACCTGGAGGGCAGAGAGTGACCATGGGTAGTGTTAGGCTTTTACCACCAGAGGGCGCTATCAGCTCTGCAGTGGGGTTCAAGCCAAATCTTAGTATATATTCCAAGTTAAAGATTTACAATTTATCCAGTGCCGCTAAGATTTGTGCTAAATGTATTGTAGTTAAATGAATATATTTTTTACTAAAAGTTTTAAATAAAGTTCTGCTAAACATTCTTTTATCATAATGGTTTTTAGAAATGCTTCATCAGTATGCAGTCACCCTGTTTTAAATGTATGATATAGTTGCATTGCCAGTGACCGTGTAAAGCTGTGAGCCCTCCTGCTGTACCTTTTTGACTCTTGAGGTTACTGAAGCCCTGCAGTGTAAAACGTTTTTTAGCCACTGCAGCTCTCTCAGTGGTGGGACTGGTGACAGTCTCGTCTATTCTCCACAGAGACAGAGAGAAAGAAAGAGGAAGGGGGAATAATGAAGGATGTTACATGTTTAGTCAGGAAAAAGAAACACAGGGGTTACAAAGACAAATCACAGAAATTCACAGTCTAAGCAGCAAGAGGAAAGACAGCAGCATTCTGAATTTTGGGACATATTTAGGGAAACATTAGTCTGGGGTTGTTTTCATTGACTGACTGATTTCAAATATGTTGTGTGTAATATCAGAAAATCAGCCTTTGAACATTTTTTGACCATAGAGTGTGTAGTGAGACCGTGAGACCATATTTGTGTATACTGAGAAGGGCTGACTGACCTTTGACCTTGTCATTATTTTTAAGTAAGGTGGCTGTACTGGAATCTGCTGCTGTCGGTTCAGTTTTCTTCTCTTCTCCTTTCTTGAGGGTCTTTGGGTTGGTCTTGAAGGGGCTCAGGGTTAGGCTGGTGCTGGTGGGAGTTAACTGATCTGAGCTCTTCTGCTGGCTCGCCTCTGAAAAACAACATAACATATATAACATTATATAAACAAAACTGAAAAGTGTGTAATTTCTATATACACTAAAGTTGAAAACATTTTTCATTGTTTCTGAAAACTCTTATCTGATCAAAAATACAGTTAAAACAGTAATCTTGTAAAATAATTAATTTTAAATAACTGTTTTCTATTTGAATGTGTTTTAAAATGTAACTTATTCCTGTATTGCAGAGTTGAATTTTCAGCATCATTACTCCAGTCTTCAGTGTCACATGATCCTTCAGAAATCATTCTAATATACTGATTTGCTCAAGAAAGGTTTCTTATTATCAATGTTGAAAACAGCTTTTGTAACAATGTAACATTATATATTTACTGTTACTATTGATTAATTTAATCCTTGCTAAATAAAAATATTAATTTCTTTCCAAAAAAAAAATAAAAAAAAATAAATTCATTTCACCTCTGTAGGCCTTTAGTTGTCCAGTTAGAACCTTCCGGATCTCATTCACCCATGCCGTTTTGATCTCTGGTGTCGACGCCTGAAAATAACCAATAAAATTATATAATAAAAATGATATGATTATAATAAACCAATAAAGTGTTGCTTTAAATGATGTACATTAAATTCTATTTAAATATAGGATATTTTTAATAAGGACAATTTTTATACCTGTACAATATACACCTCCTCTCGAGAATTACACCAGATCTCAAACTTTTTGTTGTCTCCTTTTGCGTTTTCAGTAATACCTACAGCACTCATCTGTCAGAGGAAAAAAAAAAAGAGGAAATTTTATATGTATATATATATAAAAATGTCCTTTTTTTTTTTCCTCTGGAAAAACTTAATTTACAGAAGACAAAACACAAATTAAACATGCAGATTTCATAGGCATTTGTTGATTTTCTGGGTTAGACTAAACTAAAAATGATAAATCTTCCCTGTTAATATCTAACCTATATTTTTAACCACTCCACCACATCATCTTAAAGAAGCGGACCGATTTCCATGTCAGAGAAATTCTAAATGAAAATGAACTACTTTAATATTCAGTACTTACACTAAGTGAGTGTTTGAAGCTGTATGAAGGAGCTTTCTCATAACCCTCTCCGTTCTCCTCTCGTTTCTTACAGAAGAGCATAGCTTTCTCATGTAGAAACAGGTGTCTCTGCATTGGCTTGAAGCGAGCCAGGTCTTTCACCTTCACGTGACCCTTCTTATGCTCCGTCCACACGCTGAACGACCCCTGCATCATCAGACGGCCCAGATCACTGAGGTTGCCCTGGAAACACAGTTCAGAGGTCAGCAACTACTCCAAAGGTGACTTACATTATTGGAAACTATTTTAATTCAAAGTGAACATTAAATTTCACGGCGTGAGTAAACATCATCTTTACTTCATATCCAGTGATGGCGATAAGGTGCATGGAGTCATTCACAGCTTTCAGGATGCCTAGAATAGATGAGAGCGCCTTCTGCAGGTCATCCTCACCCTCACAGCCTTTACTGTACTTCAGCAGTTCCTGATAGAAACACATGAACACAGAGGTTACATCAGTGAGAGGTGCAAATATGAGTTATATATCTGCACATGTAATCTGGGTCTAGTTTACCTTCAGTAAGAGCTGGTATTTGGTTATTCTCTGCACAGGTTTGAGTAGGTATGAGTCCAAACCAAGCTTATGTTCCAGTTTCTTTTGACACTCCTGAAAACAGTACACAAATTCTTTATTTAGATTTGTTTTTTTATTATTATTTTTTAATCAATCAATTCTGTTTATTTCGGTCTTTACAGACAACTTTTCACAAAAAAATAAGTATTATAGTCTATTAAATTAATATTTTGATTAATATTATTACTACTGTTATTATTATTATTAATAATAATAATAATAATGTTCAAAAGTTTGGGGTCTGTAATTTCTTTAAGAAATTCATGTGTTTATTCAGCAAGAACACACTGAATGCTGTTCTTCAGAACTTTCGATTTATCAAAGAATCCTGAAAAAAGGATCATGGTTTCCACAAAAATATTAAGTAGCACAACAGTTTCAACACAGTTTAACTAAACAACAGTTTAGAATGATTTCTGAAAGATCATGTGACACTAAAGACTGGAGTAATGGCTGCTGAAAATTAAGCTTTGCCATCACAAGAATAAATTACATTTTAAAATATATTAAAACAGAAAACAGTACTTTTACATGGTAATAATGCAGTATTTCACAATATTACTGTTTCTACTGTATTTTTGATCAAATAAATGCAGCCTTGGTGAGAATAAGAGTCTTCTTCCAAAAATATTAAAAAAAAATTATACTGACTCCAAAATTTTGAATGGTAGTGTATATCAGGTATATATATAAATGATCCCTTCAAATTACAGAAAGAAATATATGCTAATGTGTAATGTCTAAGAGCATCTCTAGTGTCTTGTAAAGTAAGAGGACCTGGAAGAAAGCGCAGTCAGAGCACTGTCTCCATAGAGACTCGGAGCGAGGCTTGTTCTGACAGTACTTCTCATAGATCTGCAGATCCGTCATCTGAGAAACATGAAAAAGATGTTTGCATAATCTATTCAATAATGTATTAAATCAAAACAGCACAATATGTCAAATCTGACTCACTCTCTCTAAGAAACACCGGCCCACAAGCTCAGGATAGTCGCTGTACGCCTCCAGTTCACGAAGAAAAGTCCTGGAGAGTGAATGTATGGAAAATAAGAGGCGCTTTAGCTTTATAACACTACACCAGCGGAAGCTAAAACAGACACAGGGAGGGTTCACTCACTTCTTGTGGAACTGGTATATCTCAGGCATGTTGCCAAAGAGGATGTCCTTCTTGTGAAGCAGTGTATTGGGGATGAGATGAGCCATGGCAGGATTGTCCATTTCTGCTCCATAACCCTAAACACAAATTAATCTGTCAAGTCAAATGTACTAAAAAAATCTCAAAACATAAACAGGACTGATCTGACGTGTGATAGGTGTCAGTGCAACTCACCTCCAGCACACACAGCAGCTCCTCCACATACGCTCGCTCGGTCTCCAGCAGCTCGTTCATCACATGCCTGTAGAGGATGGACATTAAACACATAATCTGTATAGAACTGACAGAAATGACACAATTATAGCTGATTTTCCTCTAAGCCCATTTGTAATAAGCTCCCGACTGACCGTCTAAGCACAGCAAAGTTCTCCTCTTCATCAGAGACAGACGGGTGTCTGCTGCCATCATTCTGTAAGTGTATCTCTCCCTGCAAATATAAACAACCCTGCATTAGTGTCTTGAAAATGTGTACGAATTAATTAAATCACAAATACCATAGAGAAGTTGGTTTGGCAGAACATTTTTAGCTCAACATTCAAAATTCACTCAAATTAACTCTAAATGTGAAATAATTATTTAAATAATAACCAATAAGGTTGTTAATATGAAAATCATCTGTAAAAATTAAGATTAAACAATAAAAAAAAAACTATTCTTTTTTTCCACTTAAAAATGTTGCAAGAGTTTTTCTTTGTGACAAAAATAGTCATTTCCACACTCTCTGACCCTGAGACCAATATAACAGAAGGAAAATTTGCTTCATCATGTTATGATCAATTAACAACAAGCTTAAGTGCAAAAAATGCATATGTTGAAGGTACAATGTAACCAATGTTGCTTTAATTATCAATATCAAAGCAGTCATATAAAGGAGCGAGGCTTGTTCTGACAGTACTTCTCATAGATCTGCAGATCCGTCATCTGAGAAACATGAAAAAGATGTTTGCATAATCTATTCAATAATGTATTAAATCAAAACAGCACAATATGTCAAATCTGACTCACTCTCTCTAAGAAACACCGGCCCACAAGCTCAGGATAGTCGCTGTACGCCTCCAGTTCACGAAGAAAAGTCCTGGAGAGTGAATGTATGGAAAATAAGAGGCGCTTTAGCTTTATAACACTACACCAGCGGAAGCTAAAACAGACACAGGGAGGGTTCACTCACTTCTTGTGGAACTGGTATATCTCAGGCATGTTGCCAAAGAGGATGTCCTTCTTGTGAAGCAGTGTATTGGGGATGAGATGAGCCATGGCAGGATTGTCCATTTCTGCTCCATAACCCTAAACACAAATTAATCTGTCAAGTCAAATGTACTAAAAAAATCTCAAAACATAAACAGGACTGATCTGACGTGTGATAGGTGTCAGTGCAACTCACCTCCAGCACACACAGCAGCTCCTCCACATACGCTCGCTCGGTCTCCAGCAGCTCGTTCATCACATGCCTGTAGAGGATGGACATTAAACACATAATCTGTATAGAACTGACAGAAATGACACAATTATAGCTGATTTTCCTCTAAGCCCATTTGTAATAAGCTCCCGACTGACCGTCTAAGCACAGCAAAGTTCTCCTCTTCATCAGAGACAGACGGGTGTCTGCTGCCATCATTCTGTAAGTGTATCTCTCCCTGCAAATATAAACAACTCTGCATTAGTGTCCTGCAAATATGTTCAAACTAATTTTATTAAATCCCAAATACCATAGACAAGTTGGTTTGGTAGAATATTTTTAGCCCAACATTCAAAATTCACTCAAATTAGCTCTAAATTAGAACAAATTATTTAAATAATAACCACTAAATTGTCAATATGAAAATCATCCGTAAAAATTAAGATTAAACAATAAAAAAATAAACAAAATTTCCCCCCTCTAAAATGTTACTAAAGTTTTTCTTTGTGCCAAAAATAGTCATATTTTCATTTTTCATGCTCATTTCCACACTCTCTCTGACCTTGAGACCCATATAACAGAAGGGAAATTTGCTTCATCCTGTTATGATCAATTTACAACAAGCTTAAGTGCAAAAACTGCATATGTTAAGGGCACAATGTAGCCACTGTTGCTTTAATGATCAATATCAAAGCAATCGTATAAATATAATTGCGTATACATTCAATAAAGCACTGCCTAGAGATGAGATACCTACTTTTCTGCAGTTTCCATTGATGATATCACCCTCTATTGTCTTCTCCCTATGAGCTGGGATAAAAACACACTTACATTAATAAACTAATAAAATAATATATTTTATGTTATATACTGTACACTGCTTTTTGAGTCATGCAATGATCCCTGCAGCTCTCCATTATGAACACTAGATGGCAGGAGAGTAAAGTAAGTGACAGGGTCCACTATATCTGTTGTGCCTGAGTGACCATAAGTAGCTAATGGCCAGTGCATGTGTATTTGAGTGTGGAAGGGGGTTAGGGGACGACATTGAGAGGACACAGACACTACCGCACTGCGGAGAATAGAAGCCACTGCTAAACTGCTCTGTAGAAAACCACTGTATTAAAATGTCGCCTCACTGCATAAAATGCACAACTCATGTGATATTCATTTTATTAGGGGTTAATTCAGAATTAATACTGCTAAATAATTTAGATATTTAGATATCTAAGCAGCCCAGGAACGGAGAGCACAATAGTCCTGAACTTGAACATTGTAAATGTGAACATTTGAGGTGAATAAACTTAGCCCAAAATGTTTGTATTATTCAGCAGGATCACAACTAAGCTAGACAACCAACACAACACACAAAAAGTTGGTTTAACCTGGAGAAGAGATGGGTGGTATGATGATGGCCTCAGGACGTGGGGCGACGGGCTGCACGGGTCGTGTCTGTTTGGCTGCTAACTTCTTCAGACTGACCCTCCTCTTCTCAAACATTTCCTGCATGGACAGCTGCTTCTGAAACACTTTGTCCACCTGTTCCTGTTTGAGCACAAGAGAAAACATTCATTAAACACTAGCAAACTAAACCTCCACAAGACATATTCACATTCTCAATAGCACTTTAAATAACCAATAACTCAATGCATATGAACAGTAAATATCTGTGTAATTAAAAATCTATACACACATATTACGGCCCGGCATGTCAGTTCTGTTTTTTAATGGTTTTGAGTCTTTTGTCTTTTACCTTGAAGTCTTGTGTGAGCACTGACTCATAGTCCCTCCAAATTCCACTCAAATCTGTCAGTTTGTGCTGATTGGCTGTTTCCAGGTAACGTTCAATATCTTGCAGCGCTGACTCCGCCCCATCCTGTGATTGACACTTATCCACAGGCTGAGAGGCTAGCAGGTAGATCCCATCATCACACCATTTAGTGGCCTGGAAGAGAAAGAAGAAAAGAGTCCATGTCTATTAGCTTTGAGAGCATTTGTAATCTAGTTCTATTGCTAATTTACAATTTATAATTTTATAATTTAGTTCTATTCCTCCTAAATTATAAATATGGACTGTGACCTAAACTAAAGTCTATTAAGTATATAAAATAGGATGATCTATTTGATGACACATCCTGCAACTTCCAGATTCAATAAGAAAAATGTCAACACAGGAAAAAATGCGTCTCTTGTTGAGCATTTTAAAAGGGTCCTGAACAGTGTTGATGAAGGAATCAATGGGTGGGCCTACTGCACCTTCTCTAGACATTGGTGTAACTCCATGGCTTTGAGCAGATGAGTTTTCTTGGCCTCCAGGACACCGCTGATCTCCTCGCACACAGCCCGCAGCTCAGAGCATTTGGGAAGGATGGAGTCCACAGCGTAATGAGATGCTTCAATCAGCTGGTCAGCATCACATGCAAGAGCCAGCGCTCGGTCCAACACCTCCTACAGACAGAGAGAGAAATATTTAATCATTTTAGACTATTACGCACACTTCAAAAGTTTATGGTCAAACTATTTTTTAAAGAAATTTTCAGGAACTTTTATTTAGCAAGGATGCATCTAATAGTATACAGTAAATAGAATTTATAATGACAGTACTTAGAAAAGGTTTCTAATTCAAAAAACACTGTTCTCTTGAACTCATCAAAGAATCAAAGAATCTTGAATAAATGTCTCATGGTTTCCACAAAAATATGAAGCAGCACAACTGTTTTCAACATTGATAATAATAAGAAATGTTTCTTAAGCAGCAAATCAGCATATTAGAACGATTTCTGAAGAATCATGTGACACTGATGACTTGGAAAAACTGACAGTGAAAAATTCAGCTTTGCTGGACAAGACTAAATCACATTAAAATATATTAAAAGTCATTTAATATTCTAATATTTCACAATACTACTGTTTTTACTGTATTTCTGCTCAAATAAATTGTGTATTGGGGAACATAAGAGATTTCTAAGACATTAAAAAAATCTCACTGACCCCAAATTTTGGAATTTTTTGAATATTATAAGCATGTATAATCACATTTTATAATCATGTATAATTACATATTTTTACATTATGTAATATTATTTACATTATGTGTACATTATGTTACATATTACTATTTTGGTGAAAGTGACAATTTCATTGGCTAATCATATATATATATATATATATATATATATATACACACATACACACACACACATATATATATATATATAAATTTCACCATACATCAATGGAAAGTTTATTTATTCAGCTATTTATTTATGTATAAATCTCAATTTTGAAAAATTGACACTTAAGACTGGTTTTGCGGTCCATAAACATGGAAACAAAAATTTACTTGAAAAATAAAAAATCAAGTTTGCTACCCAGAATTCCCATAGTCCCGTGTCAGCAGAATGACTCCAGTATAGTGATGGGTGATTTATCACATTGGGTAGAACTCCCCCCTTCTCTCCGCAGGATTGAGAACATGTGGGTGATTTCTGTAAGGGCCTCAAACTGCCGTGCTCAGCAATTTAATTATGGAGTGTGAGATTTATATGCTTTATAAGAACATATGCCTGTATCTGCACATGTAGAACATTATAAGGGCAAATTAATGTCTTCTAGGTGTAAACTTGATTCCTTCTAGAGGGAAGAACTGATGGGCTTTTTGCAGTACTATGCTTTATGTAACTTCATTTTGTATCTGAATAATAAATGTTATAATGTCATTAAAAACATTAAATCATATGACATCAAGTTAATACTTACACATGCTCTGTCTTCATGATTGGTCAGCTCTTTCAGGATATGTTCAACATGGGCGGGGCTAATTCCGACCTCTGAGAAGCCTGATACTCTGTCATACACCATGTCTAAATGAGCTCTGACCTACAACACAGAGGAACACAGCCATTACAAATACTGCTCATACAGACCAACACACACATCTGCTGAATTCTACATCCAACAAGCCACACACACTCGCACGAGCACACACACACACACACTTAAAACTAACAATGCACAATATATCGGTATTAAAACCACTAATCATAGATATTAGTTATAAATTGGCTGATATTAGAATTACAATTGAACTTTGTTTTTTTTTAATTCATTCAAACAAAATAGAACATGAAAACAATTTTATAATTTTTTAACGATTTTAATTGTATAATTATATAATTGTATAATTGTATAACTGTATAATTAAAATGAATAATTTTAATAATTTTATAATAATCAGTTTATCCAATATGGTTAAGTTAACTACAACTAAAACCATGAACGATTACAAATTATTTAAAACTTTTAACTATTAATTAACTAATTGCCTATTAATCCTTTAATTGAAATAAGGCTGAAATAAAATATAAATATTAGATGAAAAACTTAGGCTAAAAATTTTGAAAAGTTAACTTGGCAACTAACTGAAATAAAATAAAAGTTTATGTGCAAGTACTAAAATGACTAAAACCGAAAAATAAATAAAGCCAAATATTTAAAAAACAAAAACTAATAAAAATGACAAAAGCAAAACTACAGTTAAATGAAACGTGAAAATATAAAAATAAAAGCCAGTTCAGCATATTAATAAATACTATAAAAGTAATAATACTAATACTAATACAAATAATACTAAAATAACACTGGTTTATCTATACATCCCTACTGAAAACATTTAACAGATATTTAAGATGCAGCAGTCGGTGTATCTCACCTCCCTGAAGTCCTGTTCAAAATGCCGCAGTTGTAGACATTGCTCTAGCTTGGTTTGATGTTTATCCCAAAAATCATCAAATGCTGTTTCAGTCTCATCTAACTGCCCAAGCAACCTAGAAAGAGAGAGATTCATTTTAACTGAAAAAAAAAAAACTTCTTAAAAGAATACTTCCCCCAAACTCATCATTTACTTTCTTCTGTGGAACACAAAAAGAGATGTTTAGAAGAATGTCCAAGCTGCTCTTTACCATACAGTGAAAGCATACAAAGAGCAGAGACAAACAAGGACAAAACATATCTCAAAAAAATAGAACAAATTATTTGTTTTGTCATCTGAAACGAAAGACAGCTTCTGAAGTCCTGTAAAAATCAGTAAAAATCCTGCCCGCTGTTATTGCTCTAAAAAAACTCATGCTGTATGTTGTATGACAGTAGTACCCATAAATAAAACCCTCAAACAAATATAGCTGCATCTAGATAATAAAGGATGACAGCAGACGCCTGTGGATATTAACACACAGGCACGTATCCAGACCCCAGAATGCTGCTTCACTGAAAGGTCATGTGTGTAGAACTGGATTTCAATACGTTCCTGTTGGTTAATGCTCTTTATACATGTGCGTGCGTGTGTGTAGATTTGCTGTATAATCTTGACCAGGTGGGTCATCGTGTTGTCTCGTTGTGCATGCAAATACACAGCTGCCCAGAACAGCTTAATAAGGACAGAAACCGACCAAGCACATGCAACGGTCTGCTGCTGTACTGTAACCGTCTGGTCTCTCATTTTTGCATTTCAGCACAGTAGATGGTGTCACACACACACCTCTGAACAGTAGCCAGGTTCTCCAGTTCATCATGGTTCATGGTGTAATCTGGATCTTTCACCAGCGGCTCATTGATGCTCTCCAGCAAACGTGATCCCTGACAGAGAGCAATCCTCAAGTCCTCCTGCACACACACACACACACACACACAGCGACAAGAAATAAACATACTATTCAGGCCGAATGATGAACATGAATTATTTATGTAAACTTAAGGATTGTTTATAGTTTATGGCCATGTGAATAATCCATGTTAAATTATTTATGATCATACTGGACCCCTTGTTAAGGACTAAGACCTATAATGAAACATAGTATAATTTTTATAACATGCCTGACTCTGACTGCAGCATTCTGCAAAACATTTTTTCTATAATGACTGCTAAACTGTATAAAATGTATGTATATTGTATATAATTATTTGGTATTATTTTTGCATTGTATATAATTATGATTTTTCAATGTTTTTGAAAGATCCTTACCAAGGCTGAATTTATTTGATCAACAATACTTTCACAAAACTGCACGGGGACACGAAGGCTGAGGATCCCAGTGCAGTAGTTTATTAGAGGAATAATCCACAATCGTAGTCAAAACAATAAGCAGTCCAAACAATGACAGAGTTCAGGGCTGAGGCAAACAAGAGTAATCCAGATAAAACAGGCAGAATATCAAGAACCAGGAAAACAGGACATGAGAGAACCAGAATAAAAGGGTTAGAACTGCAGCTGTGACACATGCAAGACTTCGCCAAGAGTGACTGAAAACCCCAGGCTTTTATAGGCAGAGGTAATGAGCAACAGGTGAAAACAATCACGATGAGTCCGGGCAATGGATTATGGGAGATGTAGTCCAGGATAGAGTGGTAAAGGTAGGGGATGGAGTGCCCTCTGGTGGCTATCAAGGGCACTCCAGCTGGTGATCGTTACAAATACAGTGAAAACAGTAATACTGTGAAATATTACAATTTAAAAGATGTGACAGTAAAGACATATTTCTATAAAAAAAATAAAATAAAAAATGCTGCATCAAAAAAAAAGTGCATCAAATCAGCTTTTTAGAATTATTTCTGAAGGATCATGTGACACTGAAGACTGGAATAATGGCTGCTGAAAATTCAGCTTTGCCATCAGGAAAAAGCTTCATTTTAAAATATATTTAAATAAAAATGTATTTGAAGTTGTAATAATATTTCACAATTACTGTTTTTACTGTATTTTTAATCAAATAACTGCAGCCTTGTTCAATATTTTTCGTCCATTTATTTATTTGCTAAGTAGTTGTGTTTTAGCAGGATAATGTACATTATTGTCTAGTATGCTGACATGAAGTTTTACTGGGTTTTCTGACCTTCATTGTGTCCTTCTTCGCTGTGTGGACGGTTAGAAGGTTGGACGTGGCCTCAACGTCATTGGGCAGCTCTGTCTCTGCCAGCTCTGTCCCAAAAGACTGGAGAGTCTGTGCCGTTTTCTTCACCATCAGAGCAAAACCTTCAATGGCCTACAGGCACAACACAAACCAAGAGACACATATGCCACACCAATCACACAACAGCAATATCCCCTAACACAAATCACACTAATGGCTGAGTGTGCAACAAATAAGAACCATCCACAAGCACTGCAAATAAGTGTGCTGTCCTTAAAACACAGCAGCCACAGATCAATACAGACAAATCAATTACTGATTACTTAAAAGCAAATCCACAAATGGAATGAGAAGAAAGAAAATTCATTTGCTTGAGGTGAAGACAACATCCTCCTGGAAAGCTTGTTTGTTTAATATCACATTATAATGATGAAGCACCAAGATTTAAGATATGTTTGGCATTTTATAGCATTCTATCATACTACTATGCAGTACGAATATAGTATTATTAACATTTCCACTTTCACTAACTGCATTTTCAAAATGTACTGAATACACCGGTAGCATACTGCATATAAGTATATCCCATAATGCAACTTGTCCTTCCATTTTGTGAGTGATGAATGAGACAAGACGTGGGACAATATTAACTATGATTTATTATAACTATGTATTTTGTGAATTGATGCCATATTACCATATTTGTACTACCATTCAAAAGTTTGGGGTCAATAAGACTTGAAAGAATTTAATACAGCAAAGACTTTTATTCAGTATCACTGTATTTTTTAGATAAATGCAGACTTGCAAAAAAAATTTAAAAAAATCTTACTGACCCCAAACTCTTGGTCAACAAGTTTGTACAATGTCCTTATTATAATAACTAGTTATTAAACCATAATAGTCTTAGGCCATATTAAATTCAAGTAGTAACCACATATCACTCAGTATCTCAGTATGCTTATTCAATCTCTGTGTGCATTATACATCTAACCAGTCCTGTGTCCACTTTTCATTTCTGTGGTCCACCCATCAGTACCATAGTTAAAAATAGGAGTGTACTCACGGTGCGGTGTGAAATCCATTTCTCGTGGCAGTACTCCTGCGTGCCGCCCAGTTCCTGAGTGAGCTGTGTGCGGTCGATGTAACTGTGGAGCTCAGTCACAGAGCTGAGCATGATCACCTACACACACACAGTACATAATGTAGAGCATTCTCTTGCGTCAGCATATAATTCATCTCATTACGCTCTTCATTAACCACATGCCTCAGTGTGGGAGTTTGTGCCTTGTGTGTGTGTACTTACCGGCACCTTCATTTTAAACTCATCCTTGTTTAACTTAAAAAAGATGTCTGAGATTGTCCGCTGGAAGAGTGCAGTGGGTCTCAGTACCAGCACCAGCTGCAGGCTGCCTGGGAAAGAGCCCTACAAAACACACAAATACACTAAGAAAAACATCCACCAACAGTCAAGCCAAATTAAATCTAACCACTGTTTCTTGAACATTTAGACAAAAAATAAAATAAAATATGATAAATTACATCAGGCTTTTATGGCTCATTTAGCTTGTCATAGTAAGAATATGGAGCTCATACTCCAAGAGGAAAAACACCTCAGAGGCCCCTTTCTGAAAAAGTATAAGCTATCAATCAGATGACAGAATGCATGTAGTAGATTGAGTACAATGGGTTTTTGCAAGCAAGTTTTGATCAGGATAATTTAGTGGCCTTAAAAGTTTGTGTATCAAATATGATGCAGTAGGCTTTATAGGGTTAATACCTAGCTTATGTTAGTAAGCCATTGCATTTGACTGGTACAGCCTCCCTCCCACTGTCTGCATCCACACACACCATCTACAGTGGGTACGGAAAGTATTCAGACCCCCTTAAATTTTTCACTCTTTGTTATATTGCAGCCATTTGCTAAAATCATTTAAGTTAATTTTTTTTCCTCATTAATGTACACACAGCACCCCATATTGACAGAAAAACACAGAATTGTGAACATTTTTGCAGATTTATTAAAAAAGCCATGACAACTCAGTTCCTTGAGAGACTAGAAAGGCTAACAATGGTCTCACATATGTCTACCTCCCTGAGCTCTCTCTCTCTCAGTGATTGCATGAATACACACACACGCCCCTCGTGGAGTTCTTATGTTTATAGACTCTTCATTAAAATGCCTCCCTACTGGGTACTGCGTAAAATCAAAAATATGTCTGGAGAGCAATACAGAGCTGTGATGTTTGCGTGGATTGTGGTGTGGATCTCCTGACAGAAGAAGACCCAGCAGCCCCTCTGTCTCAGCGTAACTGACAGTGAGGTGGTCAAGTAAGCAGTGAAGCAGAAAGGAGAGGCTTTACAATGTGACACCGAGAACTGATTTAAAAACCGTTGATGCTGCATTAATATTCATCTATTCATTAAAAACTACTGGTGTAACACGATTTAGTCAGGTTTACTCAGTCAACTATTTGATATTTTTGAAAGAGGTCTCTTATGCTCGCCAAGGCTGCATTTATTTGATCAAAAATACAGTAGAAACAGTAATATTGTGAAATATTATTACAATTAAAGCGGTCATATGAT